TTGTGGATGGCCTCCTTGAAGAGATCGTAAAAGGTAGGCCAGTGAGAGTATTTACCCGTAAATATAGGAATCTCTAGTTGCGGAGTTGATTGTTGGATATGAGATGTTGACGATAACTTCCGGTTGAGAGCCCGTTTCATGTTTTTAAACTCGCTTTCGCAAGCAGAAAATTCTTCTTCATATGATAAGTCTTCACCTTGTAAGATGTCATCAATTTCTAGATGTAAAGTGTCTATGATATTCCAGCGGCTTTGTAACTGGCGGAGTACATCCTCAAGTTCCCACTTCTCTGATATCTCTTCTATAAAAATACCATTCACTAAACGGCTGAAGGCCCTAAAATTAGTGCGTTGCTTTGATAGTAATTGAGTTAATTTTTCAGATGGCGTAGCCGTAGCCTTATCTTGTTTTTGATAGGTCTGTAAAATGTGCTGAAGGGCGTGATACATTTCCTTAGTTCTCTCAAAATGATTATCGGTAAAGTACCCATGAGTTTTATCCTCGCATGATTTAATTAATTGATTGTTATTCATCTCAAATTCTTTCCAAAGTTCATTGAGCGAATTAATTCTTCGTTGCAAATATTCCGGCGTTTTTCTGCTAGAGGAATCCTTTCCGAAGTTCGATTTGATATTTATGATAGACTCAATAATGGCATTCTGACGTGCTAGTAAACCTTCCATGGTGATACAACAAAAATAACAATTGATAAAAAAGGAGCAATCTTACTTTGAGCTGGAAATGTGAAGCGACGCAGCTGGATACTTAACAGGATCCTGGCGATGATACTGGATCGACAGACCACCTGGCCTGTCGTGTTTTGATATGTGGACAGCAAGCCTACTGGCCTGCCTTGATGCGAAATAGCAGGCCTCCTGGCCCACCGAAAATTGATACGGGAATAGCAAGCCTCCTGGCTCACCAAATGATACTGTTAAACGCTCACAGAACTTCTCTTTAAACTGCAAGTTTGCGGTTACTAACAACTTTGATATTTATTTTTCACTGATTGTAAATAGCGCGGAAAACCAAGCGTAGGAAAATAACTTTTTCCAAGTAATATGATAAGGTCCACACAAGGTCCGATTTGTAACCCGCGCGTAAACAAATCTCGAAGGACCAATATAAATGTAAGGTTCAATGCTAAGTACCTTTACATTTAATAGAAAATGATAACTGATAATTGATAATGATAGGGTTGAACGACGATGTTTGATAAATAAAACCGTTCCGATAGAGTGCTAAAAATAGACTGATTTATTGACCGATGATAGAAATGCATTATTTTACAAATTGCACGCGTTTACGAATCGCGGCGGTGACGCGACCTTAATTATTATGCTTACACGGAGAAAACCATGTACGATGGACAACAACTCGTACATACTTAAGATCCTTAAATTGGTCAGTGTGCCTGTTATCTTGACGCACATATAAAGAATCCTCGTGTGCTCCGAGTATTAGACTTTTTGATCTTTTTAAGTGTATATATTTAAGCCGATATCTATGGCTCGTGTGGTGAGAGATATATTGATACATGTGATGTGGGCGCAGTGTCCGATAGCGGAGACGCTGGAGGAGCTCTCCGCCACCACCATGAGCCTGACGATGCAACACTCCGGCGCCGTGCAGATCGCGGTGAGATACATACACACATACATACCTACCTATATGAGTTATGCTCAAACTACTGTCTCTTTCAAACTAATCATATTTTTTTGTTGTTTCATTTAGTCCTATAAAACGGCAATTTTGGAAACACAGATTTCATGTGTCCGAACTAGATGTACCTGTGTCGGACACAATGAAAGTTATTAATCGTTCCTCGATTAATTTAAACAATTCTTCGATTTAAGTACTCGTAATATTGATTTGCAATCTGGCCCGAAGTAAATTTGTTTGTGAGAAGGTGAATCACCTCCTTCGCAACGCCCGGGTAGCATACGAATTTTAGTGTAGAGCAAATATTGAAGGTTCGGACGATATAGTACAATAAATAACTTTAACGTCATGGTGTGTTGTCGATTTTGTGTCGTGTGCAGCGGAGCCGTTTTCCGCACGGGTTCCTGGTGGTGATCATAGTGCGCGAGTCGGACACCCCGTGCGGGGAGGAAGAGGAGGCGGGGGTGGGGGAGGACTGGCTGTGGGAGCAGGCCATCCTGGGGGGGCAGCCCGCGCCGCCGCCGCCGCCGCCGCGCGTCAAGCAGATACACCTACAGACCACGGTACACATACACATGCATACATACTCTGACTAATAGTATGTGCCCTTCGTCTCTATCCGTGTTGTAGACTCATAATATAACTCATGATACAGTGTACAACTATATATTAGGACATGCATATTCTTTCATAATAAAAAAATAATCTTCCCATTCGTTATGAGTGCTCTTTGATTGATTTTTATTTATTTTTGGTGTGAAATATTTGTCACCGATATAAAGAAGTATTTATGTCTATAAAGGCTCTCTTTATTTTATAAGAATTTTGTTACCTCGTTAGAACGTTATTGAAAAATTTCCGAATTACAAAAATGTTATCGTATTAGGGGATCTCAACATAGATATAAGACCATCTTGTGATAACAGACGTCACCAATACCTAAATCAAACGGCTAGTCACGGTCGGGTCGGCATAGTGTGAGCTGGAAGTAGCTCACGCTATGCCTACCCGAGGTCAAACGTGCCTGGATCATGTCCTGCTTAAAACCAAAATGCAGTTCACCTGTCTTATCATAGAATCTTCAGTCACGGATCATGATTGTGTGGCACTTAACATCTCTATGAAATACATTACAACTTAAGTTAAACAGGACACTTCAAATAACGATATCATAGAAACCACTTATAAAAGGTGTAGAAACTTCTGCAACACCTTACTAAAAAGGCAAAGAAAGATTATGAACTGGCAATGATTAAAAAAAGATTTGGTCAATCGTTAAGGATGTCGTCTATATTAATAAAAAAAAGAAAGATCTATCATCTAATTTTATACAAGATGATGATCCTAAAGATAGTGCTTACAAAGTCAGTGAGTATTTTGCCGGAATAGGTAGGAAACTGGCTGAAAAATTCACCTCGAAGTGTGGTATAGACAATTCTTTTCAATGTAATGTCAGTACAATTAAAATGGTAAGTTCCTTTTGTCTATTCCCCACGGATCCAGATGAAGTATTTAAACTTATTATGGCTCTCAAAGATGATTCGGCAGTAGATACTGATTTGATACCCCATTGGGTACTAAAACAATACACTAATATATTATAAACAGTCTCTGTAATCACACATATTTGTAATCTAGCCTTAAGGTCGGGTGTATTTCCTTAATGTTTTAAAATATCTTTGATTATGCCCATTCATAAAAGTGGTTACGGAGCTAGTGTTCATTACTACCGCCCCATCTCGATATTGCCGGTACTTTCAAAAAAATCTAGAAAACATAATAAATAAGACATTAGTATCTCACCTCGATTCTAATAATAAACTATCTAGATCTCAATTCGGCTTTCGTGCCGGCAAATCTACTGATGATGCTGTCCTAGATATCACAAGTACCCTTATAACTATCTCGATAAAGGGATAAAGAATACCGTGATATTCCTAGATCTTGCTAAGGCGTTTGTTACTATTTTACATTAGTATAGACCTGCCATAACTTTTGGGGTTTTCCAGGGAAGCATCCTAGGTCCGACGCTTTTCATCCTATATATGAACGGGCGAACTTAACTCAGGGAAAAATAATTACATTTGCGAAGGACACGGCGTTACTGTTCAATGGAAATACGTAGGATAAAGTTTTTAATCTTGTACAAATAGGTTTAAACAAAGTATGTGAATGGTTACAGAATAACTCCATGACTTTAAATGTATCCAAAACAAAATACATGGTATTTTCATTGACAAAGAACTCCTTTCCAACAATGGGATCTATTACTGCTCATTGCTGTGACAAAACTAAAAACCACCAATGCCTCTGCCCACTTCTATAAAAAAACTGAAGTAATTAAGTACTTAGGAGTCCATATTGACTGCCTTCTAAGCTTTAAACACCACATTGATATTCTAGTGACTAGATTACGAAAGTAAATTTTTATCTTTAAAACACTAGATACATAGCCAATCGTAAAACTCTTATATCTTTTTATTTCGCTCTTTGTCAATCTGTCATTGGCTACTGCATTACTTCTTGGGGTGGTGCAGCTAAGGCTCATATCATTGAGGCAGAGAAGGCGCAACGTGCCATACTTAAAGTGGTAGCCTTCCTACTATATCTTTTCCTACAACCAAACTGTATAAGACTTGTGAAGTTTGATAGTTAGAAAATTGTACATTTAACAGATCACAATAAAAAAAAATCGGAATTGACATTTGACCCTATCTTACTTAAAAATGACAAAAGAATCAAAACAAAGACTGCTATGTACCCCTTTGTAGAACTACTACATGTCAAAATCATTACTACTATCTTAGATTCTATATATACAACAAAATTAACTCGTTTCTTTCCATTTATCCATTGCAAAAATCAAAATCTAATTACACAATAAGAAAATCGTTACTTACACTAGATTATGAAGAAACAGAAAGTCTATTCACACACCAAAAATGAATGACTTAAGCAGTTACACAATAACATCTATTTATCTATACAGTTGTTGTTGATAATCTGTACACATATATTAATACATTAATAATTTCACTTATTACATTACTCATAAGACCTAAACATAATACGACACATTGTTTTCTTTACTAGCTTGTTTTATTACATAAACTTAATTGAACAAAACAGTGCGATTCTTGCCAATCTTCTATCATTACTGAACTCAGGTAACCATGCATTATGTGAATTCAACATATGGGATGAAAACTGGTGACCTAATAGGCCAGGTTTATTATAACCTCTGTTAGGCATCACCCTCTCACAAACTGTAGGATTTGGTTTCATGTTATTGTGCGTACGTAGATTAAGTTTGTGATGGAAATAAATATATTATTATTATCATAAGAATAGTAATACACGTGTGTATGTCGCCAGGCGGCGCTGTCCCGCGAGCAGTACGTGGTGGCGGCGGCGGTGACGCTCGCGCTGTTCCTGTTGTTCTACGCGTCGTTCGGGGTGCTAGTGCTCATGCAGCGGTGGCCTCCCTTCGCCAAATATGTCTCGCCTAAAGCCGTGCTGGCTGACAGTCAGTCTATCACCTGTCTTTTGTTAACTCCCACTTCACCATGTGAACGTCGTCTATCTTTTTTTCAAAATAAAGTGTAGCCATTTTTCATTTTTAATGTCGACGCAGTACTTTTTGTTTCATTGAGATTTTTAAAACGGAATTAAGATTTATAATCGCCTTAATACTTCCCGTGTTCCTTTTAAACCGATAAAGTTGTCAATTTTACTTGTGTGATGTAGATGCCGAGGCGACGCTGCAGTCGCACGCGGACGCGGCGCACGATCGCTCCAGGCGACGAGACTCCAGTATGTTGTTTGATTATTATGCGTGTATGTTTATTTTAATTTTTACTTTCGCCTATTGATTATTCTGACAATCACCGAGGAATTCCGTAACCTGAGTGGTTCGCGAGCTCGTGTACATACATAATGTATCGAGAGTATCTCATTCGAAAGATGGCGTGGAACCTTTGTTCCGGTTTCTGGTGCGCTAGTAGATCTTTTAAACTTTGAATTATTCCACACTATTGTATTTTCGGAGAGAACATTGTACACGAGATTGGAGATACCTACTAAAGTTGTAAATGTAACTTCGTTTTATGATGAGAAAGTATTTTAAAAAAACATTAGTTCCCGAAATCAAAGTACATTTACTTCAAAAGAACGTACCGTAGCGACATCTCGCTACGGTACGATCTTAATTTTTCCATGTTTAAAAGTAAATTAGTTTTCAAAACTCAGTCAACAACTCATATTCAATTTGTACTTTTTGGTATTTACATTGATATCTAAGTTTCGAACTTTTCAAATTTCAGTTTTTTAATATGTTAATTAAAAGGAATGGAAATTACTGTCTTTGGTCCATTCGTTTCCTAGAAAAATCATTTTTTTCTAGAGTCGCCATCTAGTGGATGTGCTTTTTTAGTGCTTTCGTTTTTTTAAATACTTCCTCATTATATACACTTCATATTTTTTAGCTAGAAATCTTCCTAGAATATAAATAAATGAAAAAATCTTCAGTAACAAGTCTGTGATTTTGTTCGATATTAATTTTTCTACTCTGTAGAAATCTGTCTAGTTTATCGTGCATTATTAAAGAAGAATTGCGTCCCTACTCATGTCGTCAATATTATTACGTACACAGCCGCAACGTTCGACAGCAGCGACATCAGCGATTCAGATGAATCGGACGTCGACGGCCCGCATTCCCGGAACTTGTCCTCGCCCGCCTCCGCCGCGACTCGAGCTGAAGTTCCCGAAAGAAACAGATCCGTCGGAGAGACGAGCGATACTCGGGCTCCCGTCGCGGGACCCGATCGCTCCCCCGACGCGGGGAGGATCGACACACCATCAGGAACGGGGACGGGGGACCTCCGGACGCCTGACACCGTGACGAGTGTTCTGTCGAGTCCCGACGGGACGACAATCGACCCCCCCGATCCCGGTTCGAGGACGACCGACCCCGGGACTCTCGGCTCCCCGACGAGGGAGGCGCAACCCGGCACGGTCCCGGTCCCCGACGCCGGGAACGAACGGAACGGGCGCGTCGACGTCGACGGAGCGCAGGTCAGTCGTCCACTAGGACAGGACGTATACGAAATAGCACCACAGCGGACGTCGTTCGACGTCAACGAAAACTTTTCTACGTAGTCCCGGCTCCGACTGTCGGGGGACGATCGTCGTTTAAGATCTCTGTAATAACAGGGTACGAGCCGAGGATTTAGCCCCGGGGAGGCGGCACGGCGGCTCCCGTCGGAAGGTCGGTGCGAATATCAGTATCCGGGGATTATCAACGTCGTTTCTAATGTCGGCATCGGCATCTGGGGGGGGGGCATATGGCGGAGTGATGACGCGTGTGTGTGTATGCAGGCGGTGCCGCCGTTCGGTCTGCCGGCGCGGCTGCACGTGGCGGCGCTGTCGCGGCGTCGCGCCCGCGTGTTGCGCGCGCGCGCGGACCGGTACCTCACTTTGCTGCTCACCGTCGCCGTGTTCTACGCGCTGCCCGTGATGCAGTTCGTCTTCACCTTCCAGATTGTGAGCGATCCACTTCCACTTATCAATAAAAAAAAATCATGTGAAATATGAAACTAGAAGACCCGGAGTAATCTCGAGTATCTTTTTTTTATATGATTTTTTAAGTTCCGAAGGAGAATGAATCTTTTCGGAAGAGACTATCCCGAGCGGACGGAATATTTTTTTTTTTTTAATATTATAGATTCTGTGGTCGGAAAGATCGTTCATTTCATTTCATGCGTTCATTTTCATTCATTCCATTTTCATTTAAAAACACGCGGTAGTGTACATTGCGCGGTTCCGTGTCCAGTTCCTGAACTTCTCGGGCTCGCTGGACGTGTGCTACTACAACTTCCTGTGCGCGCACCCGGCGGGGCTGGTGTCGGACTTCAACCACGTGTTCTCCAACCTCGGGTACCTGCTGCTGGGCGCGCTCTTCATGCTGCAGCTGCGCCGCCGCCAGGCGCGACGCGACGCCCGCCCCAGGAACGAGGTACACTGACGCCCGCACCGGGTAGCCAGGAGGGCGGTATACGGTATACAGTGGCGGGTTTGTGTCGCGCAGGAGTACGGCATCCCGGCGCACTACGGGCTGCTGGCGGCGCTGGGCGCGGGCATGATGGTGGTGGCGCTGCTCTCCGCCACATACCACATCTGCCCCAACAGACTCAACTTCCAGTTCGGTCAGTACATTGCACGAATACATTTCTATCCGCGGCCTATTAAGGAAAGCACTCTAGCGACTACGATATACGACGACCGACGATGGTAGCTCCTTCTGTTCTCTGATATACAGATTACTACAAATGTCACAGATTACGTCTCCACAAGGTGGCTGACAAAGATTATTAAACAGATGTGCCACAGTATAATTTTCGCGGACTGATGGTCCTCTGTCGCTCCCGTCCGATGGTTCGGTCGTCTGGATACGACGAGCGATAGATCCTAGCGAGATTCGGAGCGATTCGAAAGTGATGTGTACTTATTTAGTCGACGAAGGACGCCGCCGTGAATTCCGAATGTCGCGTCGTAAAGTCAACTGACATTCTTTTATTCCGAACTGAGTTCGGAACGTTATACTATAATAGAAGTGAATAAGTAAAAATCGTTAAAAATTCGTCTCAAGCGGTGACGCGGAGGGTCTTTGCCTTTACGTGTGATACGTGTGTGTGTTGCAGACACGTCGTTCATGTACGTGTTGGCGGTGCTGAGCATGGTGAAGATCTACCAGTCGCGGCATCCGGACGTGAACGCGCGCGCGCACGCGACCTTCGGCGTGCTCGCCGTGCTCATCGCGCTCGGTACATACGCTGCCTTTTATTTGCTCGCGACACTCGATGGCCATATAGTAAAAGTGCTTACCGCCCGTACGAATTAACGTGACACCTGAAGGTCTATTTTTAACTGACTTCATAATCGAAAAAGTTCTCCTTATATTCGACGGCGATGTGATTTTTTATGTACGTTCACCGATATTTTCGTCAATTGTTGCCCGATTTAAAAAAAAAATTTTTTGTTCGACAGCTTGATGGTTCGAGGTTATTGATGAGTCCCTCACCCGTGAGGTTCCTCGTTTGAGTTGTTCGTCGCGACAAAATGAGGGAGGTACTCGTTTTTGAACCACCTCATTTTCTGAGTATTCGAACACGAGGTATTAACACAGTTATCACACCTCACTTAGCAGAATAATGAGTCGTTTCGAAATAAAGGTTGACTCGATATATTATCGACATGATTGACGAATGATCGATGGAGCCGGTCAGTTTTATGAGTTTGATAGAACGACTCAATTTAATTTGGTTAATTTTCAATATTTATATTGTTTATCTATTATTTAATTCGAACAGAAAACAGAAAACATCCGGCCGACTCAATGGCATTTTCTTGAATAAGCCACTTTTGAGATAAGTAATATGTTTTACGTTTTATAAAAAGTTTTTATATTTCAACGAAAACGAAATTTCATTTATTTTTTTCAAAATGCTAATACGTCCTCCGAAGAACGCTTTTCTCGATAATCGATGATGTGACGGAGGTGAGACCTGGCGCTGCCTCCGATGCGCTGATAAAGTTAATCGCCATAGATAAGTATGAGAACAAATAGAATAGACCCTCGGGTGTCATGTTAACTCGAACGAATTATAATTTGGAATATTATTGTAATATCGGTGAGATTATAGTGTACATATTTACCGTTCTTTCCCGTGCCGGTCTGACGTCGCTCGAGACCGACTGTTCTTCGATCGATCGTCGTCGGACGACGCCGAACATCATGTTTACGAACGGTCGAATACGCTACCTGTTACCGTTAGTTTTACGATAGAATCGACCGGCATCTGCATTGGGAAGGAGCTCGCTATGTGTCACACTAATCTTAACGTTGCCGTTTTGCAAAGACAAATAACGTGTGTGACATCCTGAGAGGCTGCGAGTTCGCGTGACCGATGTGTGATGTGCAGTTGTGTGGGGCGTGCTCGGCGGCGGCGCCTTCTTCTGGGGCGTGTTCACGGTCCTGCACGTGTTCACGATCCTGCTGCTCTCGCTGCACATATACTACCTGGGACAGTTCCGATTCGGTCAGTATAAACGATCAGACTTATGACACGTCACATCTTACATTACATACTCGACAGCATCAAGGTATGACACAATTTTATCCTCTCTCGGCTAGAACAAAAACGTCGACTTAAAGCACTCTTTGATGAAGTGATGACCGACCGACTTTCAATGACCACAATAAAATAAATACCGAAGTTATAATTTTGTATTCATTAGACATTTCCATTCCAGAGAAGGATATAATCCAGCGCGCGGCGCGGGAGCTGCGCGAGAACCCCGGGCGGGGGCTGCGGCCGCTGTACACCGCCCGCCTCGTGATGGTGCTACTCGGCAACTCGGCCAACTGGGCCATCGCCCTCTACGGGTAACGACACACATACGTACACTGTGCACGCACGACGAGCGAGGGCGTGTCAAAGTCAAAATAATCTTTACTAGAATAGACTTCATCATCCTATATTTTTTACCCTACCGCTCGTTCATGACTTCTTTAGGCTGATAAGAAGAACGAGTAAGAAACTCACCAGCTCTAATAGAAGTGATGACATTAACAAAAACCATGTCATTACCAGATCAATACATTATAAATAAAGAGAGAGAAAAACGATTGTCTTATAATGATAACATAATGATTTAATAGTAATGACAACAAGATAATTTTTGAGTAGAGAAGAAATTACCTATCCAGTTGCTGGACTATCGCAAGTCTAAGCATTCTTATCTGTGTCGCAGGTTGTTCCGGCAGAACGAGGACTTCGCTTCGCACCTGCTGTACGTGCTGCTGGGGAACACGCTGCTGTACATGTGCTTCTACCTCACCATGAAGCTGCTGCACGGCGAGCGCCCGCGATGGTACTCCTGGGCCTTCACCATAGGTAACGTTGCGACGTCCACTTTCCACCCCAAGGACCTATTCTATTTGTCCTCGAACGAAGATTCGTTTCGAAAATAGAAACGTTTCGTTTTCGGACAAACAGAATAGGCATTGGAGTTGACACCCGATTATTGATTAACTAAACACAATCTTCACTAAACTAAACATAACACTCAAGACGAACACTCTAGTATCTTATTAACAATAATTCAATTAAAAATGCACTAGAACAAAACAAAAAAGACGCTTCGCAGCGGTGCGTCGGCGGCGATGCGCAACAACATTTCAACGCAAAAGGTCGGCGGCGACTGATCGACCGGACAATATCAACAGAATAATAAAACCGCCTGGCGGCTGGCGGGTGGGCGGGGCTTTGATATTGAGGGGCGAACTCGGTTCATATTTTTTTATTCGTCTTTTGATATCACTCATTTTTTAAAGTTCTTTTTAAATGCTATTTTAATAACAAATTCCTCAATGTTTTTAAAACAAAGTTCATTTGTGTTAATGATGAATCGCTGGAAGATTTGTGAGTTTATCGAGTTTAGTTAACGATCCCGTTGTTAAAGGAGTATCACCCCATTCAAACAATTTTTATGGAGAACTGCTCTTTTAAAATAACGTTGATTAATGTTAGAGTGATCTCTCTACAATAATTTAGGAAATTTTACACTCGGTTGCTTAATTGAGTATGTAAAGTTAAACGTCTCAAACTAAGATCACTTAGTTTTCGTTTCCGATTTGGTTTTTTGATGATCAGTTGATAGCAGTTTGATAAAACTAAGACTATTTGACTTGTGAAATTAAAAAAACTTAGGTTATTGAGAATGAGCAGTAGAAATTTTCTTCTTTTTTCAAATCATAAACCGGCTGTTAGTCTGTTAATCGATTTAAGCATTTTGACTACCATGTTTATTGATTGACTGCTAGAATTTGCATGAAAGCAGTCTTATAAATCACAAACTAGTTTATTTTGTTTTTAGAAATGAAGAAGTCAATGACCGATTAAAAACCTTTCCTTAGTACGTCCCAAAAACAGCTGACTCAGGGTTGAAAACACTCATTTTTATTCAAAAACTTTGTAATTTAATATCACTAAAACTATTTGACCTAGACTTATATTTTTTTTTACATTATATTAAAGACAAATAGTACTCTCCAGGAACCTCGGGAGTGTCGGTCGTTCTGTTCCACCCAGTATATCATCGCTGAGAACGGACGAAATCAGTCCTGAATTATAAGGGAAAGTTTTTAGAAAAATCTCTAGCGATTAAAAAGAAAACCAGTACGCATACTTGACACTGGAGCGATGTTTAGTTTGTTTAGAATATAATTAATTTGAAAGTCAAATATTTAAGAAAGAAAGTTAAATATGATTCGATACTCAGTTTACTTTTATTACCTCAAAAATGAAAGCCGAATGAATATCGTAGACAACATGTACGAATCGCTAGCGACATCTAGTTAGTTATAACGAGGTAAGTGTCCAACAGACTCTCATACGTAATCGAGTCGAGGTAGATCCCTTTGACCCGTACATTTGCGGGCAGGCGCGGCGGCGTGCTGGGCGCCGGCGCTGTACATGTTCAGCGCGGGCGCGACGCAGTGGGCGCGCGCGGCGGCGCAGTCGCGGCACCTCAACCACGAGTGCCGCGTGCTGCAGTTCTACGACTCGCACGACCTGTGGCACCTGCTGTCCGCCGTCGCGCTCTACCTCTCCTTCAACGCCATGCTCACGTGGGACGACGGCCTCAGCGCCGTGCCGCGCACGCAGATCGCCGTCTTCTAATAAATTATATACCGCCGATGATGTTTTTTATCGTTCGACCCGTCCGCCCCGCTTTGTACTCTCCGAATACTCACGAATAATACGAATACTCACCGGACGTCAAAAGTTTTCATGTTTTATGAATTTCCGGTAAAAATGACTTCATGTTTTAAAGAATGACGTTATTTCCTAATTATCTCTAAAAGTATTCACTCTAGCCGTTTAACGCCGCTCTCGTTTGACTACATCTAACGGTAAGGATCCCTTGAAATTCGGTTGTGATTACATCGAAAAATATAATGCATTATTATTTAACATATTTGAACATCAACCATCTATGTGATGATTTAAATTGAATCTATTGCAACCGAGGAACTTGTATATTGGAATGATTACGAGACAAAATTAAAAAATCTCAAATGTACCTTACTCGAATGAAATTAATTCTAAATTTGATTAAATAATAAACAGTAATTTTTAACCGACTTCAAAAAAGAGGTGGAGGCTCTCAAGTCGACTATTTATTTTCTGTTTCTTACCTCACAACTTTTTACTGGGTGGACTGATTTTGATGATTCTTTCTTTATTTAAAAGGTAGTGCTTGCCGTGTGTGGGACCACTTAATCCCATTTGCCAGGTCCAGATCTGGCAATGGAATCTATGAGAAAACCATTTAGTCTTTAATTTGCATTTAGTATACGTGATGTTTGTTACCCCAAAACTCAAAATATCACTAAAATACATGACATAAATACATTTTTTTTTAATGTAACTGACTTCAAATTTCTTAAAAATTTCAATGTTTCTTAAAAATTTTACCGCTTTTAAGATGAGTAGGTACTATTTTCCACTTTTTTAAACTTGAAGTCTGAACATTTTTTTTTTTAATTACTCCGACAGTCACTTCATTGAACGCATGCAACCTGAATTTACGATATATTTATAAATTATTATAGATAAACTGAATTTTGACCATACATTTTAACTTTTGTGTTTTCTACATAAAAAATATGAAATCGCTTCGTAGTAATAATTTTCTAAACATGCAAGGCGACACGAGGTATATTCATTTTTATCAAAACAATATGGCCGTTGAATGCAAGTGACAAAATTTTAGTTGTAACTTTATTATAAGTTTACATTAATTAAAGCTGTGAAAATGTGTTTTTTAAATATAGGTATAATATTATGTTTGAAGAACTGTAATAGTGAGATGTATGCCAGCTGCGGAATATATTTGAAGATATATTCCGCAGCTGACATATATTTGAGATTGAGCTGGAATATGTTTGAGATTGAGAAAATAATCATACATAGTTTTGCCATAAACATTGTTACATATATATAAATATATATATTTATTGATACATTCAATATACATTTATTACTATTACAGTATTCTACATTAATATAAAGCTATTAAAAATATATATAGCTTATAGTGATCACCTGTTTCATCACCATTCCTTATTCATAAGTATATGAATTTTAATTTGTCAAAAAATAGGAACTTTAGTGTTTTCAATAATAAAAAAAAAAAAACGCGTAACATCGTATACTAAATTAAAAATATCGGATATACTGGACAGAAAAGGAACCGGCCGGTGCCCGATCGAGGTGGAACTCGTCATCGATCTTCTCAAGGTACGTGGCTGCATTAAAATTTGTTTCTACGTATCTTTCAACCGTATCTGAACATCGATTCCCATCAGCAGACCTATTCAGGTCTGACCAGTTGTAGTAGAAAGCCAGCAATCGTTTTTATTTTGTGTAAGATGCGGCGGCTACATCACCATTAACTGCACTACCGACTGTATTGCAAATAATGGAGATCAACGTTGGGGCCAGTTATCAATAGACGCACGCACACTTTCCATGGGAAAATTCATAACTGCCAGTCGTATGGATGATTTAGGGACTCCAAATTATATTTACGTTTAGAGCAAGCCTAACTCTCTAAAACTGACCATAAATCATAATGAGGAAGTATTTAAAAAAAAGAAAGCACTAAAATAGCATCTCCGCTAGTTGGCGACTCTAGCAAAAGTTGATTTTTGCAGGAAACGAATGGACCAAAGATAGTCATTTCCGTTCCTTTTAACTAACATATTAAAAAACTGAAATTTTCAAAGTTCGAAACTTAGATATTAACAATAGTAACAAATACCAAAAAGTAGGATAAGGTGGGGCACAGTGTGACAAGGGGCACAGTGTGACACTCTCAATATCTCCGTCTCTTTTTACCATATCTTTATCGCTTAGACACATTTCAGACAAGCGCATCAGATGCCACTTTGGAACATTTGTCAATGGGATTCTTATTTGCACGCTGCACAAATTTAATGAAAACAGTGTTTTGGCCTATTTTTTTCTTATAGACTGCCTGTATTGTTTTCGTTCTAAGGTGTTGATTGATGTACTTATGTAAGTAAATGTTTTTTTTTCTTGACAAGCCATGTATTTGTAGATACATACGCGTAGATAGTTTGCCGGTATCGTAACCTACAAATTATTTTCTATGATTGTTTGTTTTTTTGGAGCCTATGGGGTACAGTGTGATGGGGCATTTAACAATGTCACAACTCTTGAAAAGCAATGAAGATGATTCTTACGATGTAATCTACTTAAATAAAAGCAATAAGGTTGATAACAGTTTTTGTTTCCCGCTTGAGCCAGATTTGGCGATAGTAGAAATAGAAGATGTAGAAATTATTTTACCTGAGCTTGAAAAGTGCAAATAAATACAAAACAACAAGCTGAATTTTATATTTATCCTAAAAATATTTTAAAAAAGTATATGCAATATGTATTAATGAATAATGTGTTGTATTTTTAATAATTTACTACTTATCTATTTTGTATTAATTGTCTTTAATTTTAATGAATTTGCATGATTTTTATTTAATTTTTAATAATTATATAAATTTAATTATATTTTGTATGCCAGAAATGGTAAATGTGCTGTACTTACCTTATATTTACATCTTATAATAACCGCATTTGACTGAAATTCTAAATAAATGAAATAAATCTTATTATTATAAACATGTTTTCCTAGAATAAGTAATGTCACAAAGTACCCCATAGTATGTCACATTGTACCCCGGATCCGGGGCAGTCTGTGACAATCGACAGATCTCAAAAATGTGCAATTTAAATATTTCTAGTTATTTTTGGTTTTGTTTTTCGTTGTCAAATAATAGTTTAAGAACTGTTGACCTAAATACCTTACCCTAAATATAGATTTATTGAGTTTTGAAAACTAATTTACTTTAATACATGAAAGAAAATCGGAAGAGTTGTCATGGAGAAATCAAGAAAGTACCATAGCGACATCTAGTTTGATTTCGGGAACCAATGATTTTTTTAAATACTTCCTCATTTTAGATTTCATTTTTTTTCAATTAACTAACCTTTAAATAGGGACTTATAACATCACAGACTCTGGGCTAATTTAATTTTCTGGTCACTTCTTTTATGTATCTTGTTTATCCAAGCAGCTCAGTAGTTTTAATCACTACGTCCGTGTTTAACTAGATCTGGGCGGCCAGTCCGTGTACTGTCACGTTATGTATAGTATATAATTCACCTTTTTTCTAATCTATTATTATGAAGTCTATTTGTTTTTTGGTTCTGTCTTTAGCCGCCATGTAAGAATTTAAAATATATTTTTTCAAGCTTGTGTGAAGATTTCAGTTTAGTTATTTTAATTGTATTTCAGTTTTATTAAACAATTTATTATTTATAATAGCGTGTTTTCTGTGCCAAGGGCCATTATCAGACTCGCGCTATAATTTGGCTACCCAACGTTCGGCTCGAACAATATTTATTGTATATGATGAATATGCCTTTGTAAAGAAACTGACAATAATTGTGATCAACGTTTGTTCTGCGTTTTTTCCGAGTTAAATAAAAACTCGACGCGACGTTTCACAGTAAATATTCAGTTCCAGTGAGGTCAATTCATATTGTGTTCGCACGTTCTATATATGATATTGTACATGAGATAAAAACGCAAATATGGTTTTAACTCGATCGAGATCTGGTGAAAGCGATGATCAGCAAACGTCCCAAGAGAATATCATTACTGAAGGACACGGGACTCCATCATCGCCAGAAGTTTCGCAATCGTCAGTTGCAGGCTCAAGTCATTTCACCACGGCTTCGGTGCAACCACAAGGTACACCGCTGTTAATGACGGACCAACAGTTTAGTATTTTATTGAAATCGTTACAAACTCCACAAACATTCACACACATGCTTTCAAATTTTGCGAATTGTACTGCTCGTTTTGACGGGTCTGGTGATGTAGAACCTTTTATTGATTCTATCACTATTTACAAACAATGTGTCAACATGCAAGATAGTATTGCACTACAAGGACTACCAATGCTACTCATCGGTTTCGCAGCCACTTGGTACCAAGGTATCAAACATACTGTTCACTCATGGCAGGAAGTTCTTGTTATTATGAAACAAATGTTTGGCTCAAGAATCCCACCTCATAAAATTTATCGTAAAATATTTGAAAGAGAACAAGGAGATGAAAATACAGATGTATTTGTGTGTAAAGTACGAGCTCTTTTTGCGCAACTACCCGCATATTCGTTATCTGAGGTAGTACAACTAGATATGTGTTACGGCTTATTACATAGACGAATCAGAGAGAAGGTTAGTAGAAGTTCGTTCAGCACATTTCAAGAATTATTGGAATCCACTCGTCGAGTTGAAGATTTGTTAGAGGAGATACATCCAAAGGCTAAGAGGCCATCTTCTGATGTGTACAGAGTAAACTCTAACAATGATAAAAACTTTTTTCCGACTGATCACACAGTGAATTCTTTCATGCCTACCACACCTTCTCCTTCAATTTCTGATTTAGAAAAGAAATCCCGTCCTTGCTGCGTATATTGTAAACAATATGGTCATAAACGAGATCAGTGCCGTAAACTAGTGAACAAAGAGAATTGCCAGAAAGAATCGCAAAGCGTAGCAAGTCAAAATACCCAAAGTGCTATAGTATGCTTTGGATGTGGAACACCTGGAGTCGTCAGGTCTAACTGCACTACATGTAAAGGCAAGGGGGAGTCGACATCGGTTCCTATTGGTTTCCAAGCTGTGTCAGCATGCAGTACTTTTGTGGATGCTCACCCTCGGCCATTATTGTATATAAGTGTTCATGGTGTTACTGGACGCGTATTAGTTGATACAGGAGCTAAAATATCTATTGCCAGTGAAAGTCTAAAAAATGTGCTTGTTAGTAAGAACCACCCGATGACCGATTCTTTTGTAGAGATGAAATTAGCCGATGGCTCTATTTGTAAACGAAATGTAAAAATGTGTACTGTAGATGTTACTGTATGTAACGTTGTTGTCCCTACTGTATTTATTATATTACCAGGAGCAACTAATACTTTATTAGGAATGAATTTCCTATGTGATGCGGGTATAGTGCTTGACCTAAAATCAAATCAATTTACATTACAATCAAACAAAGATGTGTACTTTCCTATAGAGTTTGAAGGAAGCATAGACGATTTAGACTGTTCTGTTATAGGTCTTTGTGTTGATAAGGGCACTACACTATCTCCTGCAGAACGGCATAAGCTTTCTGAGGTATTGGAAGATAATTACGACATCTTTGCTCAAGGGGGAGTGCCTACCGAATTCACAGTACATCGTATCGATACTGGAGATAGTAAACCAGTTGCTGTACCTCCTTATAGATTAACTCCTGCTAAAAAGGAGATTGTTCCACGTCGTATAGGTCCTTTCAAAATTAATAGGGTAGTATCTGCCAATACTTATGAACTATTAGGTGTTGAAGGCAACTTTAAAGAGAAGTACCATGCCAATCTTCTTACACCTTATATCGGGGACGGCGATGTACAAACACTAAAGAGGAAAGGCAGGCCTCGACTTAAGTCCAAGTCACTCCCGGGGCGGGTTAGTGACTTGGAGGGGGAGGATGAAGCACTACGTCCGTGTTTAACTAGATCTGGGCGGCCAGTCCGTGTACTGTCACGTTATGTATAGTATATAATTCACCTTTTTTCTAATCTATTATTATGAAGTCTATTTGTTTTTGGTTCTGTCTTTAGCCGCCATGTAAGAATTTAAAATATATTTTTTCAAGCTTGTGTGAAGATTTCAGTTTAGTTATTTTAATTGTATTTCAGTTTTATTAAACAATTTATTATTTATAATAGCGTGTTTTCTGTGCCAAGGGCCATTAATAAATAAAAGGGGAAAACAAAAATGTATACTTATAAAATATCGATTTTAATACGTATCGATACTTCATGCCCATCCCTACAGCTGATTGACGTCACGTCATCGCCAGTGCGTTCCCATTATTTTTATTTATTTCGCAATTTCCAGAGTTTACCTTCCATGAATATTTCGCAAAAAAACAATACAAAACAGTGATCATACATCTTAGAAATGGAGAATCAGTATTATTATAAATTAATGGCAAGTTATCTTTCAAAACGGAATTGTGACGAGTCTTTTATGAGATATTTTTTTGGCAAGAACTCGTTGAAAAAGACACCGGAAGAACTAGAAAGAGCAGATGAAAGAAAGCGCCGCTTACAACGAGAGCGATCTCGTCGTTACCGAGCGTTGAAGAATGCAAGACGCCAGCATGAGGGAGGTAGCATTAGTGCCCGTGACACCAGTGACGGAGACAGTACCGCTAGCAGAGGTAAATCGCGGGCGATGTTACTCGAAGAAGAGTTGAGCGATGGCGATGAGCCGCCTACGTTGTGTGACCTCAACTACGAAGACAAATGGCGGGCCGGCTCCTCCGATTGTCCCTCCGACGACAACTCTGCCCACTCGGCTCCCGATCCTAAGGAACCGCCGCTCACCGGCGAAGATACACTCAGCCTCAAGGAGTTTCTTAGCTCACCAAATACAGAACTCGATTATCCCACAGTGCACAGCCTGATGTTCCATTGGCTGCAGACGTAACATTGCGATTATCACCGACAACATTTTGGGGCCTTTGCTGTTACAAGCCCTTGTCATATCATTGTGAATTCAAAATTCCAACTCATGGTAAATATTGTGGTAATATAAGTTGGACTTCTAATACACAAATGGAAAGTAGGTATGTGATAGTTTTACACATATCACATAAAACTTAGGATTCCGCTTCTTTAGTGTAATTTTATAAAACAGCAAATGAAATCGACAAAACCGTCCTATTATAATTTAAATCTGAATAATAATTAGTAAGTAATGTGTCTAGAACTGTAAAAGTACCTATAGCTTATATTTACCTGAGAGTGAACCTAAAGAAGTGGATTTTCATATAACAAAGAGCAGAGACTCTTATCACTTCTCAATAATTTCTATTTATGCTCTTATATTCATGAGCATTAAGTGGTGGAGAGTATCTTGTGTAACTCACCTCTTGTAAAATATTGTTTTGTAAGATGAGCCCTAACGATCAGTTGTTGTCAAAATATGAACAAGAGATTACAAGTGAACACTTCTTCAGCAATTAGAATATTCCACTAGACAATAAGTTGTTGTTAAGTTGCCATATCCTAATATTTAGATACTCAACTATTATACAACATTATATACATATATATATATATGCATATACAGAAGTATATAGAGAATATAAACTTATAGTTTGTGATATGGATGAATTTTACACTTTGTGTGGATCTACAATATTTGTTGTAATATGTATCTAGGTTAAGTGTGGGTAGGTGCTCCTTTTTGGCCATACTGAGTGCATATCACCTTGTGGCTTTTTTGAAAGTGCAATACAAAAATCTTCTATAGTAGCAATATGCTGTTGCTACATTCCTTACAACACTTGGCCATAACTGTTCAATTTTAAGTACATATGCATTTATTGTCAAATACTCATCTTTTGGTTACTGAAGCTCTCTCTAAAAGAATGATTGATGACTTATAATATTTTCAGGCACAGCTATGACTTTGAGATGTTAGTATTTCGTAAATTAGATATTTAAGTTTAGCATTGTGATTAGATGACAAGTTGTTAATGCTATTATTATGTACCCATTTTCTACCATCATTCACTGTTGACTGATAAAATGAAGGCTTTTTATTATGATATTGTAATTAAGTGATATGTGACTCCTTGGTTCAGGGTTATTCCTATCTGTCTACACATAAGGACAAATGGGAATATGATTCCCAACTTGCCCTTGATTTATGTCTCAAAGATAAACAGGAACCACTTCAATTTTTATGTCTGTCCTTTAATCTGTCCCCACAAACAGTTTCTGCCTGTTGGAACAATGTCCAGTCCACTTACATTTAAGTTAATTGAATTTGTTATATTACCTACCAGTTTAATTTTTCACCCAGTCTTAATTTTTTACATGGTATACTCCTTACAATGGCTTAAATGAAATTGTGAGCAGGCTGGAATCTATTTAAGGGTACAGAACAAGAAATAGATATGAATATCTTAATTTGTTCCTGTTCTCGTCTCGTGAAACGCAGGACGGCGAGCCAGACAGGAATAACAATAAATTCTTAGCATTATTAAATATTTAGACTAAGATGACAATATAGGAAGCTTAGTAGCTAAGAATTCATGCAGCTATTATTTAGTTGAAGACTAGAACATTGCCATAGAAAAAAAAGGATCTCAAGGCCCGAAGGTCCTAGGTCTTCTGTATCGAATGCTTTGTTGTAACCGGCGCTAACTGATATGCAAAAATTCTTATAGATATTATTAGAGTACTCAGTAAGAGATTTGATTTTATGAAAATTTATGAAAGTTGTTACAAAAAAATCTACTAGCAGTAGTAAATTACAAAAGTAATATTAAATAAAAAAGTCACTCCTCTTTGGATGAGTTAATTGAAAGCCATAAATTGAGCCATATTCATTTAGATGTTATTTTGAAAGAAAATAAGTTTTTGCTTACTTGTATAAGTGACCTTATATAAAAATGTTATAATTGAAATTTTTGTTCTCTTCGATAATAGGTATCGGGTTGGCACAAAAGTAATGAGACACTTGGTTTAAGTTTTTACTTTTTTATTATTATTACAATAAAAAAAGTTTAGTCAATGATGTAATTACCATTAGTATCTAAGACTTCTTGCCAACGATCCGGCAAAGTTTGGATGCCTTTTGCCCAGAACTCTGATGGCTGTGCCTCGAAAAAGTTGTTCAACTCCGCCTCTACGTCAGAGAAATCATTAAATTGTTTACCCCGCAAATGCTGTTTCAGGGCTCTAAACAAATGATAGTCTGATGGGGCGAGGTCTGGGGAATAAGGTGGGTGGGGCATCGTCTCCCAGCCCAAGTTCTCCAACTGCCGGCGAACCACAGATGCGACGTGAGGTCGAGCGTTATCGTGCAGTAAAACTACATTGACTCGTCTTCGTCGTTTTTTCTTGATAGCGGCAGATAATTTGGTAAGCTGGGTTGAATATTTGTCAGCGTTTATAGTTTCATTGTGTAATAGCTCATAAAACAGTATGCCTTGCGCATCCCAGAAACAGCAAAGCAGAATTTTTCAGCGGTTCTTTTGACTCGGCTTCGGTTGAGTTGGTGGCGTTTCTTCTCGAGGCAGCCAAAAAGCACGACGTGTATCGTTCTCGTAATAAATCCATGATTCATCTCCAGTAACCAGATCTGACAAAAACTCTTTACGTCGGGGTCGCAGCAAAAGTGACTGACAGATAGCGACACGGACTGCACGACTGGCGTCTGTAAGGATGTGCGGTACCCACCGAGCCAAAACTTTTCGATAACCAAGCTCATGCAGATGGTGTTCCACGGCGTGGTGACTGCATTTAAGTGCTTCCGCTAATTCACGAGTGGTAGCATCCGGATTCAACTGCAGTTCGCGGCGCAAATCGTCATCATTCACTGCGGGTGGTCGCCCTGAGCGTGGCTGACTTTCAAGGCTCCTGTCTCCTGATTTAAAACGGTCAAACCATCGGGACACCGTCGCATGGCTTGTACTTCCAGCGCCTAATGCATTGTTGATATTGTCAGCCGCAGCCCGCGCACTGTGGCCTAACAAGTACTCGTATAAGTATAGTGTTCGAACTTGTCGCTCGTCCATTTTTCTTCAAACTGACTAAACAAATCTCGAGCGCGGCTTTATATACCCTACACCAGAAGTGCCTAGAATGTTCTACAACATTCTAGAATATTATCGAAAAAATTGATTTTAAAAAGGAAATGTTATAGATTTTTCTAGTGTGTTTCATTACTTTTGTGCCAACCCAATATATTGCGTTACGGTGGAACGACAGACGCGGCGGGAAGTGAAGCGAGAGCGTCATCGTCCACCGTTTGCATTTGTCGGTCACGTCATAGTGTATGAATTAAATCTTGTTTATTATATGTATATTTTTAAAAATATACTGTCGCCTACTCTTCAGTTAATCCAGTACAGTTGCGGATACATACAATTGTTTACATACAACCTTACAATTGTAGGAACCGTAATGTTGGAGGTGTGGTTCTACTGGATGATGAAGACAACTGGCAAGGGTAATAGGGTTGACGACTTTTTTTCTTTGTTTATCCGTCAGATAGATTGTTGAAAAATATTTAACACGTATTTTTTCGTAATCATTAAATTACGTCGATTCATTGAAGTAAATATCACATGACGTCACACTTTTGTACATTTTCTACAAACTGTGATGTAGCAAGTCCCCACTCCTCAACTCTAATGCTTGTTATCTAAGCTATTTCTTGTTAAATTGAAGTAAAAAAAGAAATCCATATTAAATATTTTTCTATTATCTGACGGACTAAATAGAATTTTTTCTTTTTTTACCCCGTCGTCATCCCTATTGTCTCCCTCCGAGCTAGATGTTGATAACCTAGGGACTGTATCGCTCCCGTTCCCAGCTGTCTACTGAAAAAAATTTTTACACTCGTATAGTGCTCGCATTAATTTATTCCGGTCAATGTGTGCACCTGTTATTCAGCCATAAAACGATGGTGTCTCCATTTAGCTAGATTATTGACGAGCACTTGCGATATTTCAAAAACATTGAAAACAAATCATATATATACTGTGCATCTACATGTGTCCGCCAGATCGCTTGCGGGGTGGGTATAGAAGTTAATGGTGCGATATTTCCATTGCGTTGTAAAAGCATATTTAAAACTGTCTAATGCTATCATGTTCAAAACCTAGTGACTGAAAAAACCACTTATATCCCATATACAGTTACAAATAGATGATGGCCGTATGATGTTACCAGAGAGTTTTTGATACGCTTTTACTCGCAGTTAGCGATGCCTTTATCGAGTGTAATAAAAATAGAGATTATGCTTAGCTAGGTACTTTAATGTAGTGCCATATTAAAAGAGCTTCCTAATTATTTTTAAACACCTTTTTTATTCGAGATCGCCCTTGCGACTGTATTCCTTTTCCATTCCTACGGTGTTATTGTTGTAAGTACCTATAAAATTAAATAATAAAAAAGTTAGGGGGGTTATAACAAATAATTGCTTACGAAGAATTTATATACGAGGTGTAATATTATTGTATGCCAGGATTTGGGGTGGATTAGTTAGTATACGAAAAAATAATCACCTGTTTCATACTGTCATTATATTGTAGGCATTACAATGAGAGAAGTTATTAGTCGAAATCAAACTAGATGTCGCTACGGTACTTTCTTGATTTCTCCATGACTGAATTTCAAAAACTCCTTTCTTGATTTTCAAAAACTGAATAAACAAATCATATTCTATTTGTACTTTTTCGTATTTGTATTGATATCTAAGATTCGAACTATGCAAATTTCAGTTTTCAATATATTAGTTAAAAGGAACGGGAATTACTATCTTTGTTCCATTCGTTTCCTACAATAATAAACTTTTGCTAGAGTCGCCATCTAGTGAGGTGCTTTCTTTTTTTTTCTATATTAATATTTATATTTTTTTCTATTTTATTATATATATTAATATTCCCTCATTTATTAAGAAACAGCCGATTACTTTTTCGTAGAATTCAGTGTTGCTCCCATAGTAAAAGTTGTTCAGTATGCATAACTATTCCATTCCACGAAGTCCTAGCACATAATAATATTACATCTTATATAAATTATCCGTTAGTATCGAGTAATAATTTAAAACGATCAAAACAATTTTTAATCAAACCATTTAATAAAATAATTTCTATACAGTTATTTAATAATACTAATACCTTTTCAAATATTGTATACAAACACTACACGATGCAAATCCGGCAGAAATTAGCCATTCTTATTTATCTAATACGCTGTTACTTAAGATAAATAATAGGTTTAGTACATCAATAATATTATAAATATTGGTACCTACTAAAGATATATACCCAATAAGAATATTATCACAGCACGACTCCGTTACATATACTCTAACTTGCATCATAGATTCAAATGCAACCTTTAAAACCATGAACTTTGTACTTAATAAAATTGTTAGGTATCTATATCGACGCAAAAGACGACGATGTCGGAAATTAAAATTAAAGTGACTGAGCGGTCACACACTGAACACTTTGAAAGTGATTATACGCTTGCAAATCAGTTTTTCAACATAATAAATTTATTGTCCGACCGAAACTAGTTTTTACGATCGAAACCGAATTTCGGCAATAGGTTGTTTTGGCCGAAACCGAAACTTGCTTACGATTACGAGGATCGTTTTTTGAAGAAAAAATAAATTAAACGATATTATAATCAGCTAGTCTTTATTTTTATCCGACTGCATATTTTTTCGTGTGTATTTTTTATGCATTATTCTTTATTATCTCATATCTCCGGAAATGCAGTGTTGTTTTAGCAGTCCAAGTATTCAAGTTAGATGACGTTAAGGAAAATATTTGATAGACGAAATAAAGCGGCACACGCCCATCGCTAGGTCTGAAATGGACAAGTTGAGAAAAATATGGGGAAACAAGCACTTTATTAAAGCCACTAAGATCAAGCGTCGGAAACGTGGACTGCGTGAAAGAGAGAAGAAGAAAATAATCGCTCTAGAGATGTGGTGCTGGAGAAGGATGCTTGGGGTGTAATGGACGAAGTTCCGTACCAATGCATCTATAATGAACGAACTCGGCATTCGACGGCGCCTGTCTTCTATAGTGCAGGCACGCATGCTGACTTTCTTTGGTCATGTATCACGACGCAACAATGACTCCGTGGAGCGCCTGGTAATACAGGGAAAAGTAGAGGGTACCAAAGCACGCTGTAGGTCCCCGATGTGATGAACAGACCAAATAAAGGCGGCAACAAACTGCTCTATCCAGGAGTGTACCAGGAAGATTGCGATCCGACAAGAATGACGACGTATAATAGAACTTGCCACTCAAACTGTTCCTGATTGACGACCACGACAACTCTCTCAAGAGTGAAACGAAAAGAATAAGAAGGAAAATCAAATAAGGCGGCCGTGCGACGCCACTGTACTTAGTAAAACATTTTTTGAATAATACAATGTGGGTATCGAATTAAAAGGCTTAACACAAGGATTTAAAAAAGGCATATAATATCTAAAGTATCATTACCTTAATACTAATAAAAATAATATTTTTAAATATGGACTTTCTCGCTTTCGTGACCAACCTAGTAATTTGAGTTTAAGTATTTATATCACAATAGATATAAAATAAAATACCATAGTATTTTACTATTTAGGTAATGAAGTTAATCTCAACTTATTTCGTAGTTTGGTAAAATTATTCTTCATGTGGTTCTCCATTACTGAATTTGTGTTAAGCAAAGCTCTTCGACTATGTTAGTCCATTCTCGGATATTTCACAACCACTACTTTTTCTTCTACCAACGCATCGCTTTCCCATTATTTTTCCCATCATTATTAGCTGCAGAAGTTGATATCTCTCGTGCCTTAAAATATGGCCAAGGTGACCCATTTTCTTTTGCTTAATGGTTCGCATTAATTTTCGAGTCTTCCCAACGCGTTGGAGAACTCATACATTGGTAACTTTTGTCTCCGACTTAAGAGTAACATCCTCCGCTAAAACCACATTTTGCACGCTTCAAGATGTTTTTGGATGTGTTTTGCTGCAATCTAAGCCTCACTACCTTACATTTCCATTAACATTAGAGTATTCTGACTCTGAGCTTTATGCTTAAGTTACGGTAACATAGAAGTTTATTCACTTTGTGAAAGGTGGTTCGGGCGATTTCAATCCGGCTCCGAATTTCTTGTTCACTGTCCCATTCTTGATTCACCCAAGCTCCGATAATTATATCGTTGACCTCGATCAAGTCTTAGAGCTGCCAGTTCTATGTTTGGATTTAAATTTCCCTTTTTGGATGTGACCATAAGTTTTTTTTTCAAACATTGGCATATTGATTTGTAAATTTAAAATAAACAAATGCTAAGTAAACCACTAAATTATAAACTCAAAGTAGTCATAAGACTACAAATGGCAACGACTAAATACTGATAATTACAAGTGTATTACTTAATAGTATTCATAATTTAACAATTGTATATTATGGGTAAGAAATGTTTGTAGAAGTCTATACTTCTTATCGAGAGAGTTAACTAAAAAATATATTCAGATAGGTTAAACTTAATAATATTATAATCTATGAACTTATCCTTTCCTATATCGAATAATTGTTTGATGTATACTACCTACTCTCTGCTGTATCATGTGACAAAATTTACGGAATTCAAAATTTATCAACCTAAAACCCAGAACATTCAAAACACGACATGATTATCCACGAAAACGCGGCATGTCTTCGTCGCCGATTAGGTGGAATTCAATGCGCCGAACTAAACTAACCGTTCAGAGCGCGAACAGCTGTAGACGCAATTTCGGTTTCGGTCGTAGTTTCGGCAGGATTTTCACCGAAATTGAAATCAGTTTTTTTTTTGCAGAAACAAACATTCGGTCGGACACTAGTGTGACCTTGCAACATGCCGAGCGAAAAACGTTTGTTTGTTTGTACGCTAAGATTTTTTAAACTACATACTTAGGTACACAACGGATTTTAATGCAGTTTAGCTACTCACGTCCGTTAAGGTTTAATGGCGCCTTTAAGCTCTAATGAACGTAAAACTAATGAAAATTTTGAAGGACGTTTGTGCAACTGACCGAGAGTGATTCAAGAGGATTTCTAATACAGGAGCACGCGGGCGAAGTCGTCGACAGGAAGCTAGTTTATGATAAATCTGTAATATGTGACGTAAACCATTACGAATAGAATAATATTTTATTGAAGGAACCTTCTTAACAAAAATTTAAAAAGTTCTATGATCGACGGGTCTGTATTTTTTTAAAGAATGTACCGCGAATCGTAAACCTAGACTCAAAATTCTTTGTTAAATAGATCCGTCTACAAAGTTGCAATCTACATAATGGGTACTTAATATTTATAGAAATACATAACAATATTGTTAATATTTTTCGATAGGTGTCTCATTGCCGACTGCGCAATATTCGTTCTGCCTGTATATTCCAATGTCAGCAACTGCCCACGGTATCGCTAAGTATGGTCAGAGTACAAACATGACTTCAGTTCTAAATTCTATTGACCAGTGAAGTAAAATAAACATCTGTGAATATCCATCAGCTAGCGTTAGGTGTGCGGCTACCTGAATTAATTAGCCACAACGCTGCAACAGATTCGGTCAAGCGGAAACATTCGCTATATTGTGCTCAACGAAACAATAAATTAACACATAACATATTTTTTTAAACTGTAAAAGTTAATAAGACTTTATAATGAATGCGTGTGCGGTTCTGTTCGGGTGAGCATCGTCGCAGTGGTCGCGCGGCGGCGGCGTGCGCGCGCGCTTGCTGCCTGGGCCGAGCGCGGTGGACGGGCCCGACGACGGGCGTCCAATAACTAGTCAGGCTCATCGATTTTATAATGAAATCCTGCATTATGTATAAAATCACATATGTGTCCAAGAGAAAAAAGGTAAACAAGCACTTTCACCTTTATAAATTGAGCCTCATCTATATATTAATCATGTGGTGGACGGTTACTTACCTACTTTCTGAACTTTAATATTCAGCAGAGGAGTCATAACCGAGTAAGGAATTTTTAATAGATCGAAGCAGTGGAAACTTAATGTCACCGCTTGATTGCTCTGAGCAGATGCCAATGAAATCATCTGCATTCAACGAGTAGATCATAGCACCACGCAAGTCGTGATCCCTGATGAAGTCCGCTTTGGCAGCAACACTCGCTGGTGACTCATATGACACCCACTCTTTGCCTTTGTAAAGGTATGGTACTTTAGCCTCCTCATCTTCTTTTATCACTACATCACTATGGTTTGCTACAAATAGGCATATATCTGGATAATTTACAAATCCTGTACCTCCCAAACTTCCATACCCTGATGCTGGACTGCCCACTCTAGCATTGTCAGGGTTTACCAATGTAAAGGAATGTCCATATGTGGGTACTCCAACTACAATTTTATCTTTGTGCAGTCCTTTAGTTAAATACATCTGAACAGTGTAGTTTATATTCAATGTGGCCATATATAGGATCTCATCATGTTTTGGATACAGTGGGGAGTTGAAGCCTGTGAATGGAGTGTATTTTGTATATGAATGAAAGTCATATGTCATGACATTTACATAGTCAGTATATAAATTAAGTTGATCTATATCATAAGAAACATCGACTATTGTCTTGGGTGCTGCCACTGCTACGGTCAGTAAATAATCACGTTTCTCTCTTATATACTCGCTTCTTATTTCCCTCAACAACTGTGAGAAATGTTGTCTTTCTCGGGAGTCTGTATTGTTACTTTTGCCATTATCAAAAACGGGAAATTCCCAATCGATATCAATTCCATCTAAATTATAATTGTGAAGTATGCTTTTCACAGATTTAATAAATAATTTTCTTGATGCATGATTTATTACCATCTCTGAAAACCCGCTTCCATTGCCTGCACCCCCCACAGAGAGCAAAATTTTCAGTGTTGGATTTACTGTTTTAAGTTTTATTATGTCCAACAAAACTTTGTATTGAGAGTCTTCTAAGCTTATCTTTTTGTTAACTATTCTTGCAAAAGCAACATTAATGTGTGTGCAAAGATGTGGGTGTATATCTGTAGGTAATAACTGGTTAGATTCATTTAGGCTAGGAGTATCATAATAACATGATACCACCTTTTCAGTTTCCTTAGGAGCCTTATTTAGTGTGTTTGTTGCTCTTGTAACAATTTCTTCATGACTTTTTTTAATGGAATAAACAATAAGGTGATTTTTTGGTTTAATCCAGTCAAATGAATATGAGTTCCCATGATCTGATTGATGAATAATAAACACCATTCCAGCACACATAATACAGACCAGAACTGCTAGCACACTGAATATCTGTAGACATTTCTTTATACCAATATATTTCTGTGACCTCAATTTAACACTACAAGGCCCCTCGTCTAATGGTCGATAGGATTTATCACACATTTTCGATTTTTTATTTATAAGTAAGCAAAGTTGACTGCAGAACTTGCTTTGAACTGAGCACTTAATAAGATATCGAAAGTTTTTTTCTGAAAATCGTTAGTTAGTATCTACGACTATACAAATAAAATTGAAATTATTGGGATTATTGTAAAAACACCGAAAAATACTTATTTACAAACAAAGAAGAATTTTAGGCTCATCGAGAATATTAATCGATATTTCAACTTATCGATATATTTTTTTTATAATTAAAATCGATTTATACAGGGAATATTTAATCTTAAATATTGCATAATCCATATTTCGAGTATCAAAGTTGATTTTTTTTTATGCGAGTTTAATGTAAATATGACTATATTATTCCCTCAACATTTTCTTAAAATGTTTAGACGTTTTTAGAAAATGTAAGTATTTTAAAAAAGTAGATTTTCTTCTTGTTTCGTTAATATCGAAAATTTGTTGTTATCTTTATTTTTAAACTTACATACATACCTATCTGTATGTAAATTTAAACTTACGTCACAAAATGATGAACCAATGAGGAAGTATTTAAAAAAAAGAAAGCGCTAAAAAAGCACCTCCACTAGATGGCGACTCTAGCAAAGTAGATTTTTGTAGGAAACGACTGGACCAAGGTCAGTAATTTCCGTTCCTTTTTACTAACATTTAAAAAAACTGAAACATGAAATATTCGAAACTTAGATATTAACAATACAAATACGAAAAAGTACAAATACAATATATGAGTTGTTTATTGAGTTCTGAAAACGAATTTACTTTTAAACTTGAAAGAAAACCGGAAAGGTTGTCATGGAGAAATCAAGAACGTACCGTAGCGACATCTTGTTTGATTTCGGGAACTTATTTTTTTTAAATACTTCCTTATTGAATGTTGAACCGCAACTTTCAATTATTAAATTATGGTAAGTTTGAAGGCACGAACATAACACCGTAAGCCGTGCCATTCAATTTAACGATCAGTCGCCAAATTGTATGGCTGATTTAACCAGTTGGCTGCCACATTAATACAACTAGATCGATTAAGCGACTGTATTGTCATCTTGCTTGTTCCTTTCTTAGAAAGTGAGACATCAGTATGCAAAACCTTATCTTATATATAATATATATAGAAATCTGTCTCAAGCGTTATATAATTTATTAGTTTGTTTTTAGAATATATTATTATTTGGGCGACTACACCTACCTTTCCGATATTTTTTTAAGAGCTATTTTGTTAAAGTAAAATAAACATAAGTTTCTGAAATTCAGTAAAAAAACACCGTTTACATTCATTATTGTTTTAGCTAATATAAAATAAAAAATGTAATACCTCTTTGTGAAATCGTTAATACTGTTGCAGTTATTTGGATGTTTATAATAATACTTTGCTTGCTTTTACAAAATATAATAAAATAAAACATAATTTCTAAGGAGAAACATTGTATAAAAACACAAAGATGGAAAATATTTTTAATGAAAAATGCTTAAATAATCTACATTATAGCACCGTGAACCCAAAATTAATCAAATGTAATACAAAAATGGTATATTTTTTTAGGCAGTATAATCGTATTCCTTTTATAAGAAATACATGCATTGATTGACACATCACATTGACATAACAAACAAGCTCTGACTGACATTGACGTATTGTCATTCTTCTGATTCGATACAATGACAATATGCGTGCAACAAATAAAATAAATTACTCTAATTTGATAGGATTTTTACTATGCAATGTGAAGTAATTCAGATAGAACATATCTTCGTCTTTGCCAATTCTGTGTACTAATCATATATCATTAGCTATGGACAGCACGTCCATGAATCCTTACGAAGAGCAGCTGTACACAGTGTTCAAAACCTTCGACGTAGATAACGAAGAAGCCCTAAATAAATCCGCTGTTCTCGATCTGTGTGACGCGTTACAGCTAGAGGACCGTGGCGCCACTCTCGTGGACAATCTGTTCGAGCGACGCTCTGACCGTGTCACGTTCACGCAGTTCCGGAACGGGCTGCTCTCTGTCCTCAGCGGCGCCGAGCGTTCTCCGGCCTCAGCCCCGGCCACAGCTCCCGTCGCTACCCCCGCGACTCTGGTGCCGCCAATTGGAGCGGCACACAGCGACGAAGATTCCTCAGGCCGCGAAGTTGCTCCTAAGTTCGTTTTCGGATCCAAGAAATACGGACGTCGTTCGAGACCACAACGTTCTTCCACTTCCGGGAGTTCGCCTCGAGCCGCGTCTGTGTCACGTCTCGATAGCGAAGACAGAAATCGATCGTCGCAACGCATGCGGTGCAGACGGAGTGCCTCCGCGATGGAGAGTCGCGATCTCGACACCCGGACCGACGAAGACGACGTCGTCTCGGATACCTTCGACCACGACCGGCGGATCGACTGCGATCAAGCGCTCGCCCTCTGTCGCAATCTACAGATGGAAGGAATCGACCGGAACCTCTTGGAGTCCATATTCGTCGACTCCCGGGCCGAAGAGATCACCGTCGGAGATTTCTTCGATCGCTTGAACGTCTCGCTCACGTCCTCGATCGAAGGTTCTCGGAACACCAGCACCGCCGAAGTGATAGTGGACGACGGCTCCGACGAGGACGCCGTCGTAGCCGCCGAACTCGTGGTCGACGCGTGGGAGCGCGCCGGAGTGCCGCGGCCGCGGCGCCTCCTCGTCGAGCTCGGATTCATCGCCGCCGCAGTGCGGCCGCTGGACCTCGAGCGGGTGCTCGACGACGAACTCGCGGCGTTTCCCGAGCCGGTCGGAGAGAGGCGCGACGGCCGCTCGACCCTCCTCGCGGCGGCGCTCGCCCTCGGTCGCCTGCGGACGGCGCGGGCCCGACGCTGCGCCGACCTCGCCGCCGCGGAGCGTGACAAACTGCGCGCCGACGTCGCCGAGGCGAATAAACGCGCCCGCCTCCTCGCGCAAGACGTCGACGAGAGCCACGCCCGAATGGAGGCCGAGCTCGCGGCGAACCTCCGCCGGATGGAGGCGCGCCACGCCGAAGCGACGCGACGGGCGACCGAGGAAACGGCGGCGGAACGCGACAGAGCGGCGGCGCTGCGCACGCGGCTCGAGGCCGACTTGGCCCGACGTACGGAAGCCGAGACCCGAGTCCGAATCGAGTTGGATGCGGAAAAGGCGCGGGGCACACAGCTCGAGGCGCGCGTGCTCGCAGCGGAGGAACGCGCGACGACAGCGGAGCGCGAGGCGGCGAGGCTGGCGGAGGAAGCGCGGCGGGCACGAGAGATCGAAAGCGGCGGTGCGGCGGGCGCGGAGGAGGGGCCGGCGTGGGCGCTGGCGGCGCGCGTGGAGCAGCTGCGGCGGGAGGCGGCGGCGCTGCGGGACCGCAACGACGAGCTGTGCGCGCTGCTGGAGGCGCGGCCCGCGCCTGTGGCGGGCGCCACGGCCGCCGCCAACGCCGCCGACGCCGCCGGTGACCTCTCTGCAGAGTTGCGATCGTTCATGGCCCCTGAACCACTCGAGGTAACGAAGTTAACTTTTACGTTCTCGCTGTGTAGCGCTGTTTTTTATTTTAAAACACCAATCATTTACTCATCAGACTCCATTAAAAATATATATATACATTTATGATACATACACAAGATTGGTCTTTATAAAATAAAAACAATTCTTATTATTATATTAAGTTTCTTTTATATGTTGGTGTACAGTAATCGATTCCGTAATGAAATTTAGAAAAAAAATTAACTTCTATAAAAAAATTGCAATTAAGTTGTTAAACACAACATCAATTGATCCTATGATTTCCTATTTGAGTTATGGATGACATATCGAGGTTCCTCCAGAAATAAATCTTAATTTTGCAGTAGATATAGAACATGTTTTTCACTATACTTAGAATTTCTACATATAAAAACTATTCTGGAAGCTTTTGTTGTTAAATAATTAAGTGCTACAAATTGCACTAAATACAAATACAAAAAAGTGTGTACTAATTCCAATTTATAATTAAAAATGTATTCTTAAAATATTAAGTTTCAATTTAGGTCATTTTGGAAGATGATATATGTGTAAATTTGCAATGGCAAACTATTAAGATGGCAGAATATATTTGACATAATTATTTTTGCAAAATTTTATTTGGCATAACAAAGAAAAAACTGATCTATCGGTTATGTTACAAATGTGAACATGCCAGGACAGCAGACATTAGGAATACCTACATAAATTTAAAATATCCTACACACAAATACTACGTTGTGAAAGTACGGTTGTGAACTTTCTAAAATAATGTCTCTGCCAATAATTTTATAATTATTATTCGAAGGATTTTTTATTTATGTAAGTGATCACCGGACATCTGTCAAGTGCCACATGATTAGCCTCACACTGATCCACTACAACATCCTCACTCAAAAGACGAAAGTCAAAATAATCTTTATTAAAATATTACAAGTACTTTTGTACAAATCAAAGTCTAGAGCGAAGGTTTATTGAAAGACTGGAGTTTAGCCATACAATTTATGGTAACAGTAAAAAAACCTTATATTAGAAATCACAAATACATATATAAATCATAAAGAATACGATCATACCGCGATTCATTATGGCAGTACGCCATCTCTTATCCAAAATTGGAACCAATTTATCTAAGAATATAAATATATGTACTAATGATCTTACATTGTTATGGTACATTTAACTCTATTTACTGTTTATCTATTTACTTTTGTAGACGTTTTTTGGCTGATAAGAAAAAACTAGCAAAAGAAACTTCACCAGCTCTAATAGAAGTAACATAACGACATATCTTAGCAGTTGTACTCATTGTAGAGCGGTCTGTAGAAGTGGCCACTCTTCTCGGACGTCTGCTTTCCTCGTACACCCGTATAGAGATCATAAAGTGCGGCCTACACTGGGTCAGTCCAGGGTGTCGTATATAAAAATTTGTAGGGCTGGACCCGGTGAGCTCCTCGCCAGACCCTGGGTCCTTCTCGCCCCAGAGGGTACTTGCAGTGGGTGTACGAGTAACCCTTACATTTAGTATATAGCAGCCTTGAGCGTCATCAGCACTTTACTCGAGTGACTCGTTCATTGGCCTAGTTGACCTGTAGTAGTAATATTTTATTAATTTACGCATTGACATTTTTCTGCATATAATTTAGTGTGTTTAATAAAGACCGCGACAAAGCACATCTTTTTCTTGTTGTGTTGTAAAGTGTAGATTACCCCTACATTTTACAGTGGGTTTTACCAGGTAGGGCGGCCTCGCTTAAGCCTGTAGGTATACGTCTAATATTTATACGTGTCATCAGCGTATAAGAAATGTAGGCAACATTAGCGCCTTGGCGAGTCGGCTTTTTGTAGCCTTTGCGATATCCCGGTTTCTCCATATTCTCTTGAGTTTGTCCTTAGCCATCTTGGCAATAGCCACGCACCGTTTAATTTCATAGTAACATCTACCTTTGTTTGTAACGAGCATTAGTACTTCCAGATAAACAAATGATTGCACGACGTCACAGTTCGTTACCGTGACGTCTGGCCACTGGTTGGTTCAGACCTCAAGAGGTTTTGGTCACATTTAACCGAAAACAGCAGAATATTCAATTTCAAGTTACAACTAAGCAACTATTAGTTGTAATTAATTCTATCTATTTGCACATCTTAGACTGAATCTTGTTTTAATTCTGCCAAAATGCGTCAAATCTGTAGATATCCAACATATTTAAAATACACATTAAAAAAAGCTGATAAAAAATGCATATCTCAAAAGCGACTTATTCAAGAAAATGCTATTAAGATCGGGCCCCTATCATTTTATTAATAAACCTACAGAAGACCTCCGCCCGATTTCAATAGCATTTTCTTGATTAAGTCGCTTTTGAGATAAGTATTATTTATCACTTTTTATAAAGTTATAAGTCGGTTCCATTTTAATAAAATTATTCAATATCTATATAAAAATATTTAACATAGTGAAAGCTCGACTTTTTTTCCAATAATCTATACTCATATTATAAAGCTGAAAGATTTAATCGCTTGTTTGTTTGTATTGGAAAGGCTCCGAAACTATTGGACCGATCCATTATTATACATCTACGGGAAGCTATATAATAGGCGGGGGAAAAAGCTATAATTTACGCAGGCAAAGTCGCAGGGAAAAAGCTAAGTATCAACAACGCCATAGAAATTATAAAAATAAAAGTTTAAGTACATTCCAATTACATTTATTTATTTTTAGTCCAGCTCTCCGAACGCGAGAGGTACAACGAGTTCGATCAAATAATGGATAAATTATGATATATCTCGTTTATTTTATTTTCAATTGCAGGAATGCGATTCCTCGCCGTCCAGCATGGATCAGAAAATCATAATAGATCATCGCGAGGTGATCAAACGGTTGCGAGACATCTTCGAAGCCTTCCGCGCCCCGTCTCCAGCGAGCAATGACACGTGCGAGTCCTGCGTCGCTGTAGAGAAGCTCATATCGGAAACCAGGGCGCGCGTGCAAGAACTGATCGACGCCGTCGCGCTGCCGGCGGCGGCGGCGGTATCGGCGGCGCCCGCGAGTCACGCCGCCGCGCAGACCGATCCCGACGACGATCCGCTCCGACAGGAACTCGCCTCTGTTCTGACTAAACACGCGGAAGAGAAACAGAAGTGCGACGACTTAATCAAGTGAGTGTTTCAATCGCATATCAGTCCTGCTGTTCTGTAAAATCCAAACCCGAATTCGAATTCACTCAGGTGCTCGAATACACTTCAAAAAGCGGGATCGGGTCATGAGTAAAGTGAGTTTAGAAATGACAGCAATTGACTATTTGAGACACGTATATTCAATGACAGTAAAATAGAATTTCTACACTAAATGACGTGAATTCGAACACTTGAGGGAATTCGAATTTGAGTCTGGATTCTGGAGCACAAAATTGCATTAAGCGTTTCTTTGGACTTAAACTTAGCTATGTTCCGAATTGAAGGCCACAAGTGTACCCCTGAAATGCTTGCACCTTCAAGGGGAACATGAGACTAACTGCAATGCAAACAGTTATTCTGTGATTTCAATCAACAATACTACATATAAAGCTTCTTGCTGTTGCTTGTGATAGTTAATTTTCTACAGTGTTAATAAGCAATATGATTTATAAAATCTACATCAATAAAATAGATCACATGTAACCCACGCCCCTGGTTAGAGCTGAATACTTGTACTAGTATTGGCAATAGATCTTCTTAAGTGGTAAAAATATAAAACAATCCACGGAAAATTTGCAATACTTGCGCTCTGTACATGCACAGGTGACCTCCAATAGACGCCATTATTAAGCTTAATATGAATATGTGGCTTGCTTATATCGCACAGGAACTACATGTGCGTTGCTGTTTTATGTTCCACTAGTGAACACATACATTCCATAGTATTTAATTGTGATCAATACAGTACACATTATTGAACGCCATTTTTTTCACAAATAGAAAATAATGGCTTGAAAATAAATTCTAAAGATTTTATTTATGTGAGTAAACAGTTTGTTGTCAAGTTAAAAAGACAAAATAAAAATATATGTTTACTCAATAATTATAAGAGATAAATTGAAAGCGCTTGAAAATTTTCATCTATATTCGTATAGTATAGGTCAAAAATTTACTTTCTAATTCGAATTTAATTATTCAGTCTAGGTTGGTACGAGTACTTGTGAATTTCGAAAACTATGAAATTCTGACTGTACTAAGAACCGATAAAAAACTTAGGTAACACCAGGGAATCGCAAACTTTAGTAATCATGCATTGTGCTATATAGTCGGTAACAAAAACTCTTGCTTGCTTAATTTGTGCCCAAATCAGAGTTAAATCAGCATTCCCAGCACCTCTAACTTTCTTGGTTAAGTACGCTCGTGCAGTACAGCTCAGGATAATAACGTGGACAATTATTCGGCTACTATGCAGCGTTTCTGTGTTTCTCGGGAGGTGTGTTTGCTATTAATATTCTTTTGCGGATCTTTCCGAGTCGAAGGAGGCGAACGAAACGAATCTATCAAATAATAATCTAGATGAAAAAATAAATGAAACCTGCGTACACGAGGCGGCGCCGGGTGCGAAGGTTTACAAGTTTTCGGACGATCATATCTAAAATCGGACTCTTCGCCTCCTCCGACACGGTCGAGGAGGATCGCCTCGCGTTCGGTGTCCCGGCCGGCCCTCGACGGGAACCGTCTTAAACGTTCGGCGGAAGACGAGGTCGGCCGGTTTCTGATCGCTCTCCTCCCCGGCGCAGGGAGCTCGAGACCGGCCTCGAGCAAATGCGGGACGAGTACGAGCGGTGCGAGGAGTACTGGGCGCGCAAGCTCGACGACGAGCGCGCCGCGTACGACGACGAGCGGCGCGCCGGCGACGAGCGGCTCGCGGACCTCGTCGCGCGCATCCAGGACTACGAGCGGAGCTTCGCCCCCGCGCCGCCGCCCCCCGCGCCGCCGCCGCCCCCGCCCCCGCCCCGCCTGCCGCCCATCGAGGAGCGGGCCGCGCTCGAGGCGCAGGTGGCCGACCTGGAGCGGGAGTTCGCCGAGCACCGCGCGCGGGCCGACGCCGAGCTGCGGGCCAAAGACGCCGAGCTGCGGCGGCTGCGGGAGGCGGCGGGGGCGGGCGGGGGCGCGGCGGCGGGGGCGGGGGCGGCGGCGGGGGCGCGCGAGGCGGCGGCGCTGCGGGCGCGGGCGGCGCGCGCGGAGGCGGCGGTGCGGCGGCTGCACGCGCGGCTGCAGGCGGCGGACCTGCTGGTGAAGGACCTGTACGTGGAGAACTGCCACCTGGCGCACCGCGCGCCCTGACCCGCGCCCGCCCCCGCCCCCGCGCGCCCGCACCTCGCGCGTGTTCGTTTCTTCGCCCGGATCGTGATATCGAACTGTCGTTCGAACTGAAAATATCGGTCTCCGAATGAACGCAGAAAATGGATGGAATGAATGGTGCGGAATGCGAACGAGAATCTGTCGACCGGTACGTCCTATTATAGTTTAATGTAAGTGTACTCGAACGGTTCGCTGGAAGTTTGGTCGAGGAAAATCGACCCTGGAACCGCGCCGAAGTGGCCGCAGCGGCGCGTCAGGTTCCTTCGTAAATCACACCGTTCGTATCATAAAGAATCATACCCGCTTTCCGTACATCGATTGACCTGTCAAATGTTTTTTTAGAGATCGCGTCGACCTACCATTCGTGATTATTTAAATTAGATTTTGCTTAAAATATAATAATTTCCAAGCATCTTTTCATCTGGAGGCCAGGGAGATTCGTAATTTGTAAATAATGTTTTGAAGTCATATCGACTATCGAAAATCGAGATAATTGTGAAGCTTCTGTAAAAATAATGCATTAAAATAAAAGCTTTTTGTAGATTGACTCGTAAATGTAGAAATAAATTAATACGTAATTGTTAATGTGCGTTTTGTAACCTTATGGCGAAAAAATATTGTTCCGTTGGAGATGAAACGAAACGCACCTCACCGTCGTCGCACGGTCCGAATCGCAACGGGGTAACTTTTTGAAAATATTTATAAGCCTCGCAATTTTTATCCTAACTTTATTTTAAGACTTAATTTCACGATATTAAATAAGTAAAAAATAAATTACTTTCTAAGATATATGTATCATATTACTAGACGCGTTAGTAAATTTTTAGGTCCAAATCGGACATGATTGTTTTGTTTGAAATCGTGCCCCAGAGCCGTGTTTTAAATTATCGATAGTATAGTCAGTAGATGTATTCGCGTATACGCACGGTTCAAGACCGAATCTTTATTTTGTTTCCGGTTCAGTTTTGATAATTGTTTGTGTTCGTGATGATGTTCGGCGAACACGAATGTTCGTATTCGGAGAGGTGCAACGAAAGATTATACGATTTTAAAGATTAAATTTATACTTTTTAGAGTGATTTTTTGAAGCGAGGATTATCAAATAAATAAAAAAATCGATGATGTAACTGACGTGTCGCTGCAGGAATAAACCTCCTGTGATAAACTTGTACAGTTGGGTCATTTTAATAGGCCACATTTGACATCTATCAGCCTCAACTTCAAAGTAACTTGTAATGCGCCCACATATTATAATTATTTCTTTCAAAGTTGAAAGACGTTACACAATTCCATATATTTTTTTTATTATCAAAACGTTTCACTGTAATTAATAAAGCTTTCTAAATGTAATAAATCTATTTATTACACTAATAGCCGCTACAAAATTAAGTCTATTGACCCGTTATATTTTTATAAAGTTGTAAGGTTGTATCGAAAAGATTGCATGGTCTACTCTGAAGTTAATTTTATAATTACTTTTACAAAATATTAAGACCTTAAAGAATATAGATAGCACTTGAAGCAAACGTGATTGAATAGAAAAATATTTAGATAGAATGAAATGCAGAGAGCTGCCATTTTTCGTGGCATCCAAAGCACGATGAGACCGAAAATTTAAATTTTGGTCACTCGTCATATGATCACCTATTGGGAACAACAATGGTACGTCGATACGCTACCAAAATCTTCAAAAATCTTATATTCAATACTATATACAATTGACTTTCCGTTCAAACTTCCTGGTTACATTTAAGAGGGCGCTTTAAATGAACTTGTGTGTAATTTTCGACTGGTTCTTTAAACTAAAAAATAACGTCCAAATTAGCTGTTATAAATAATGTTACGGAGCTACGGGCGCTGCTTACTCTTCATCGGACTCGTACGTCGGCGGGAAGGAGACCATCACCGGGGAAAAAAGGGACGGGAATCTTTTTAGAAATACCGCGAGTAAACCGGTAGGGCCAAAACCTGATGTTCATATTAATATATCGATAATAATAATTGATATCGTATTTGCGCAAGAACTGCATTCGAATCACATTTGATAGGGAACCATATCGATTCGTTAAATTAATCGAATATTTTAAGCAAGTATCACTATCAGTCTCGGATTGATAGATATCAAATGTAGCTTCGTATAATGACCTAACTGAAGGTGACGTGTGGCGGAGGCGGGTACACGACGTTATAATGACATTAAAAGGCTGAGAAGCTGTTGTAATATGTGATCTTTGAAATGCATTATATTAATTATTGTTAAAAGATTAGCCGAGTGTTGTTTATTAGTTAGTACTCGGGTGACGATTACCTTCATATCAATATATTAGTTTCAGTAGAAGCTTAGAATAAAGAATAATCAAAGAAGTGAGTGATGCGCGTGTTTGTATGTTTTACAATGAAATATATTAGTCGTTGCGCGGTTGTGTGTTACGTTATTTACGTTACGTGTATTACGTTCCGGTAACCTCGTGGACACGACGCCGGGTATCGACGTTTGTATGCCTCTGTGACATTATGACCACAATTTATTGTATAGAGAAATAATTAAAATATAATCCGCCCCGAGTACCCCTCGGTGGTGGGGTAGATTTATTAAATTATAATTCTATGACATATGAATGGAGCAATTATAAATTTATAACAGCACGTCAGGATAACCTGGTAAACAATCATAGAAAGTATAAAGAAATTGTCAAAGGATGAGGGTCCTTGAGGGACTTTTTGGGCTCTGTAAATTTATAAATTTGAGATCCTTTATAGGTTTTAAATATTTAAATCCAAAATTATCATAGATTTATTCAACCTTCACAATGATTTACAGAGCCCGAAAAGTCCCTTATAGACCGTCATCCTTCCCCCATTTTATATTTATCCTCTTTACTTTGATGTGAAATACGGAAATTTAACATTTTATAATAATCCGACGCACTGCTCACGTGCTGCCGAGCCTTTAGGCGTCCGTCATTTTGTTACCGCAAAATGACAGATTGTGTCCGCCATTTTGAATTTGCATTGTCTTACTTCGATTTAAGGCACAAAGTGCCGAAATGTTTTGGATAAAAGAAAATGTTTACTAAATACTTGAATTAAATAACAGTGCCTACATAAATGTATTCATAATTATTATAAAGATAGATACGACCAATTCTATAATATATATATGTATAGGTATAGCGATGAAGCGGT